TGTTTATTAGATTTTTTCTTAGAATTATTTTCGAGGTGTTTTAAGGATATAGGTATGTTATTTTAAGCAGCACTGCTTGAAGATACGTATAAAATTTGTATGAATTTATATCTACGCGCAAACAGACGTTACGCACTAAAACAGGGCGCACGCGTTCCGGCCCAGTGCGTGTTTTAAGCACTGGGACTGATTAAACATCGCGCTCCATATATGGAGGAAGAGGAAAAGGAATGGGGCGCGTTTCAGTTGTAGGATTGTTCGAGTTGTTGTGACGGTGACTGTAGTAAAAAGTATAAGTTCATTTCACGGGACAGCAAAGTAACAGAGCAACGTCTAACCAGCACTGAAGCTGGTTAAACGTTGCTGTTATTTTCTCGGGATGTTCCTTTGTTGAAGATTGTCTACCTTCTGTAGTTCTTTTGCAAGTTGTTTGCCATTGCTTTTTCTGGTTTTTTGTTATTCAGGACTATTGCAAAGGACTGAAAAAACTAATTTCTTTCTCCTTATTACACATCTTCCCAGTTTACACTGTTCTTTTTGAGCTTTTTGAGCGGAACGGGCGGGATATGGAAGATCAGGAAAGTGGTGCTGTAGTTTTCTTCAGTAAAGAAATGAATTTAAATTGTTTTGTATATTTGTCTGTTGCACGTTTCTTCGCCCGTACTGCTTTATATCAACAAAAGTCCTAGTTGTTTACTGTAAATTCTGTGTTAGAATCCTCTTGCTTTTTCAGGCTTAGTTTTGAAATAGCATGAATATGAGTTCTTTTAATGTGACCATCTTTATTTTTTTCGTCGTTTGTTTTTTTATGAAGTATTAGTCTTGAGGCTATTTCTGTTTTGGTGTGAAATGTTCTACCGAATTCTTCCTTACAACTTCTTTGACTTCATTGTCTAACTTTGCTCAGTATTATTGCACTTTTTACAGTGAAGTTCCGTTCACCGTCAGTTTTTGGGATAACATTCACGGCAGTTGTAGCTTACCGAATTTTGATTACAATGGTTGATGGCGGTGAACCAGTTGCTATAGAAAAAATGGTCGACATTGCAAGATCAATTGTGATAGGAAAATTATCAAATGCTCTCTACAACGAATCACCAGAATCTTTTAACAACATCATTTATGCCTTACTCGAAAAAGCATTCAGTATGCCCAAAGACGCAGTTGAGCGAATAATTAAGTACCCACACCTTGAACTCGAACCGGAACAAAAGGTTTGTTGTTTTTGGTTTTTCCAGAGTACATGCGTGTAAATGTTTCGTTTTTGTCTCCTGAAAACAACTCATTGACTACTTTGTAAAAAAAAATATTTGGAGACTTTTTGATAAAAGAAGGTAAGCGCGTGATTTAGGTAGATTGCGCAGTTTTCGAAGAAAAACCGAATGGTTCTTTGTAATAATCTTAAATTTACCGGAATTGTTTGCTTACCTTAACGAAACTGACTTTTGGTGGGTAACCATGCGGACTCCTTATCTTGGAACTTTATTTTTTATTTTTTTCAAAGAAAAGGTTTAGTTACTTTTGTCCCCTTCATCATTCTATATAAAATTTGAACTTGGATATCCAGCCATCGGTCATTGCGGTACATAAATTATGGAAGTGAAAAAACCGTAAAAACAGTGGTTTTTCCGCTGTATAGTGTTTGGATATCACTTACTTGTTCCCTACAACTTTTCTAAATCTTTATCCTTGTTTAAATGCATTAATGGTACTTACTTTCAAATTAATTCACTGATTGTTAACTAGTATAATTTTAAACTTTCGGTGCACTTTCCAATGATGTTTGCTTAATAGCCGGTATCCATATTCTGATCCTGTTCTTTTATATGCAAATCATTCTTAGATGGAAATTGAAGCAGTAGGTAAGAGTACAGTATCCGAATAATTTTCGGCTGCAAATCGTAATGGTTGCGAGTAGTTTTGGAAAGAGCATTTCGCGCTATTGCAGCTTTTTTCGTAGTGATATTGTCAGCTAGAAAAGAAGAATTTTTATTTGTGGAACTGGCCTAATTAAACAGATTTTTACTGCACATGTAAAGTACTGAAACGTGACAGCAATTTCTGCACGGACTCAGTTCTTTGATGCGAAGTAAACTCTTCTAACCTAGTGCATCGAAGTTATGCATTGTGGTTTGCTAACGTGATGCACGCTTTGAAGAGCACGGTTGTAAGC